GTTTGGAGTAAAAATATGTTATTAAATGTGGTATTTTCACATGCTTTCAGATGGAGCAGCATTTACTTCACAGAGCCATAGTTCACTGAGAAGCTATGCAAACAGCTGTCATTATCGCGAACGATTTCTTCGGTTTCAGAATCGCGCAATAAAATCGTCTGCGATTTTTTTTGCGTAAATTGTCAGTGAACTACGGCTATGTGTATTAAATTCTGCTCCATCTGAAAGCACGTGATGATGATTTCCTGCTGATTACAGAACCGGCATTACTAACAAAATGCGCATGACAATCGCATTCGATTAATCGTGCAGCACTACGTGTGAGACACTTTTTTTTTTTTTATGGATGGGCGCTTTTTATTTAACTTCTTTTGGACTGAAGCACTGCAACACCCGCTGAGTGCCATTAAACAGCTTGAAAGATCAAAGACTATTTTTAATATAACTCTGACTGGATTCGTCTGAAAGTCATATACATCTAGGATGCCTCGGGGGTGAGTAAAACGCAGCCTAATTTTCATTTTTGGGTGAACTAACCCTTTAATGATTGCTGTCAAACACATATTTTTGCAAAATTGTTGGCCAAAATACAAATTGAAGAAACTATAACAATGAAATAGAGTAACTATTTCCAAAACAGCTCACAGGTACTTAAAATCAAAATAATAAAAGAAACTGTCAACCTCCAACACAACAGTATTGCATCAAGTCATTTTGCACTAACACAACAAAACCTGCATATAAACCAGACAGGATTACAGTTTATTTAATAGACATACAAAACAATACTGTGGTAGTACCAGGGTACAGTGATGTTTGAGACGGTAACACCGTTTTTTAAAACCATTATTACTTATGTTACTTCTCATAATACCATGGTACTTTTACGGTATTGCGCAAACTAACGTTACGTACTATATTGTAATATTACAACGCGCGGTGCTCAGTCTGATGCAATTTCCACGTTTCTTCTGCAGTTACTGTCAGTCAATTAAACTATAAATTATCTGAGCTGAAATCAGTCTAAAAGAGGTAAAGTTAACAGTCATACGAACTCAGTTTTGCATTAACTCAGCATTCCATGCCTTTTAAAATCCCTGAGATAGTATTTATTATCTTTGTGTAGTGCAAGGAGATTAAACTGATGCACGTTTCCATGACATTAGCTTTAGCCGAGCGGCTAACGATTTAGCATTAGCAACAGTTCATGTATAAAGCACCTGCCAGTTTTATTTGGATTAACTTGACATATGTAGACAACAAATAGAACACATCAGGCTAAAAATACGCATTTCATCCCCTCAATGTGGCGGCTAGCTATAAGTTACACATCTATCTAGGAAGCGCTTTGACTGCATGTTACTGGTCCAGCTAACAGAAATAATGAGCACTAAGGGCCTGCCATGCTTCTAAAATGAACTAATTCAGTAATACATATGCACACCGACCAAAATAAAAGCACTCAAATCATCGCTTACCCTAAAGACAGGTTCTGCCCTTCCTCTCTGCGGGCTTGTTTTAATGGTGAATCGGCTCCTGTTGAGTTCCAGCAGTCTGGCGGCTGTAAGTCTCTACTGTTCTGCCTGCATCATGTCAGCTACTGTAAGCTTCTCTCTTCTTCTTCATCTTCTTCTTCTTCTTTGGAATTTTTTGGCGTATTCCGCGCCATAGGCACATACCGCCACCAACTGTTTCTAATCATGCATGGATGATAGCCCCGCCTCTATTCATATTTTATTTATTTATTTATTTATTTTTTAATTGTTAATTTTATTTCGGGCTCACCCAAGCTGTATTTCTGGCTGCTGCGTGTTCAGCTCCAATGCCAAAAAACCCAGCTTGTGTGTTCCCCTAGTCCTTTGCTTTATTTATTTATTTAACTATCAAATTAGTTTATTTAATCCTGTTTCTACTATCCATTACTATTCTTTGATTACTACCTTCTCTTAATCCTTTTCCTAATATCCAGTTTATCTTCTTTTTTTTATTTATTACCATTTAAGTTCTTTATAATTTTAATTCTCTCTATATTATATTTCCGACATTTTAATATATGTTCAATGGTTTCTATTACCCCACAAAAAGCACATTTACCTGTAATATGTTTACCTATTTTGTATAGTGATGCATTTAGTCCTGTGTGCCCAAATTGTAATCTATTTAAAATCACCTCATCTTTCCTACATCTTCCAAAATTGTATACTTCTTTAACTGATGAATTAATTTTATAATAAAACCGTGTAAGCCTCTCTCCAACATGACCCCTCAACCTCAACCTCAACCTCCTGCGAAACAAAGCTGCAAACTGTCAAACTACGACCTCTATGGGCCATATCAGGAAAGGTTAACGCTCTAATACGCCTAATACTGCGAACTCTACTGGCCACAAGAAGAAACGAATTAGAGTGTAGCGTGAAGACAATAATTTCTTCTTAAATGGAATTATCTAGTTTGTTAAAGGATAGTGATTTGTTTGCATTATATGAACCCAATGTATTATAATGTAAGGAAAATTCTTAGTTGTCATTATTTGCTGGCAGGTGAATTTAAACACCGTAGTCCTTCAGAAGCACTGATGTGTCGGACATTGGTTGATTGCTTTAGGTCAATGTATTTTAAAGAGAGGATAGCACGCTTTTGTTCGTTACAGTGAACTATTGCGTATAAGTAAGCGTATCATTTTTTATATATCTTCTAAAATTACATTGTTCGATTTGTGTTTCGTCAGTCCCTGGTGGTCTAGTGGTTAGGATTCGGCGCTCTTACCGCCGCGGCCCGGGTTCGATTCCCGGTCAGAGAACGAGTTATTTTATGAAAGTATGTTTTCAAACATATTAAATATTAATAACATATCAAAATTTTCACACACACAAATCAAGAAATCATGTTCCTTTTTTCACCCCCCCCCCAATATTTTTTGTTTATAAAAGAAAAGATTAAAAACAAGCAACTTTGTTGTAATTATAGCAAAAATATTGGAGGAATTTTGGAAAATAGGCTTTTCATCTGTTAGACAAATGGTGGGTTTCTATTCAAAAAGGTTTAGAACTGCCCCACAGATTAACATATTAAAACAGTTTAAACTGTAACAATTGAAACCTTAGTCTTAAGAAACCGGTTATTTCCTATGAAAAATCAATTTATTCAAAATAAACGCACATCTTTGTTTTTTGTTTTTTTTTAGTTTTTGTGACACATTATAACTGAGCAATATGACTGATGATAACTGATATACTCGTTACTGAGGTCAGTGTATACAACAGATCAACCTTAACCTGTCTTATCAGAGAACCTAATCTAACACTGACCTGCAGGTATGAGTAACATCTCAAATTAAGAGATACATTTGTTCCTTATGACTTGCATTAAAAATATAAGAAAGAAAAATGCACATATAAAGTATATTCACAAAAAATCATATAGAAACGAGAGCAAAACAAAGATAAAAAAATCCATGTTTTTTTGCTCTTTACAAATTAGAATTCCTTTGTTAAGCACAACACTGAAATGGAAGCTGACACTGCCAAATATTTTATGTTGAAATACAATAACAAACCAAACAGTGTATACAACAGAAGATCAACCTTATGTCTTATCAGAGAACCTAATCTAACACTGACCTGCAGGTATGAGTAACATCTCAAATTAAGAGATACATTTGTTCCTTATGACTTGCATTAAAAATATAAGAAAGAAAAATGCACATATAAAGTATATTCACAAAAAATCATATAGAAACGAGAGCAAAACAAAGATAAAAAAATCCATGTTTTTTTGCTCTTTACAAATTAGAATTCCTTTGTTAAGCACAACACTGAAATGGAAGCTGACACTGCCAAATATTTTATGTTGAAATACAATAACAAACCAAACAATTCATTTCTAAATAAGTTTCTTTTTTGCATTCAGCATTTAGGACCTAAGAAATGAAACTCGGCACTAATAACAGGCGAGACCAATCAAACAATGAAATCTTCCTAAGTATTGCATACAGTATAATGGCAACAGTAATGCAGCTGCAGGCCATGGCAACTTGTGGGCTTACTGACACAGCCAAGACATTCAAATGTGACTGTCAAAATGCAATATAGTGACTATGTATGGCTATGTGCCATTAAAAATAAGGACGAAAAGGGTCACTTTAAACATGTGGCATGTTTCAACAACCAAAACCACCCACATCATTCATTGTCAAATGTGAAAATTTAAACTTTAAAAAATACTTTTTTTAAAATACAAAAAAGCAGAATTTGCTGGAAAGTTGAGAAACCTTATATAAAATAAAAATAAAAACTACACAATAATGAACAGTGTAATGAAAATCGAGTTTTCTACACAATCTTCATCCTCGCTGTCCTTTTAAATAAGGCATTTTCTTCACTTCAGGCTATCAACTGAAAAACAAGAAAATTACCGATTATAAAAGCAGCAAACTGACAAAATCGATTATAAAATATTGGTTTAGTATTTTGGAGGTACTTACACCTTTAACTGTCTCCCGGATGAATTCCTTTCTGCTGGTCAGATCAAAGTCAGGATACTTGCCATAAACCTAAAACAAAGAGGAAGTTCATAAATAAAAAGTATTTGGAAACGTTTGAGGATGACAAACATTAGTGGAACATATCTATATCTATTGTGATGAACTACACCTGTGCTAGGACTCCTGCATGAACTTAAGAGGAACTGATTTCATGCATTAAAAATCACTGGACTTCAGTTAGTTACATACAATTGCAAAATGGATCAGAAAAGTGAATATGCATCTAAAGTGAAACACCTCATTTGTTGGAAGACACCATTCAGTTTGATATTTTGTTAATGCAATGACATTCATACATTTAAAGTGTCGAAAGAGCCACTGTAACCACTCAAAAAGCCATTTTGTCCTGATAAAAGCTTTGAAATAACATACTTTTCGGGTAATCTGCTTCATCGTAACTTCCTCTAATTTGGCATCTTTCAAGAGATCCTTGATTGCCTCCTTTAACTGTTCTTCAGTTGGTGGTTTTTTAACCATCTTGATCAGTGGCTGATCATCATCAGAGCTTTCACTTTCATCTGGAAGAAAAATACAGCATTTCAAACTCAATTGCAAAACAGTTTACGGTTTCAGTTTTGAGTAGGGATGGGTCACGATTGTTGAATATTCGATTAGTTGATTTAATTAAAGAATATCGAATAGGTTGTGCGATTATTGTCTTAAAAAATGTCCCCATGTTTTCCGTGCTGATGCGGTGGTGACGAGGTATAACGCACCTAAAAGCTGTCAAAGATAACAGAAGAACACACTGTCTCACACGCACACTGTAGACTTGCGTGGCATAAAAAAAGACTTGCGTAGCATATAATGGTTACAGTAACTTGGGACGATGTCAAATAAGAGTTTTGTGCGGACCACAAACACCCCCGACTGGGTTAGAGGTGTGGCTGAATTCGTATTCAGAAAGGCGCGGAAAACAAATAACACGTTCTACGGAGCCTCTAAAGGGACATGGTTAGCCGCATGGTTAGCTGTAGCCTGTCACATTACAGTACATAACATTTCACTTACCACATAAACAGAATAAGGAGAGATGACTGAGAGGATGATGGCGAATGATTTGCAGATCCTGAGCACCACTGACAAGCATCTAATCTTGTAAAATGTGTGGTAATACTGCCCAGTGCTGCTCCGTATAGGGTATATGTCGAACGACCAAACCCGGAAAACAGGTCTCATTGCTTCCGCTTGTCGGAGAACGTGTTAACAGCCTTATATAATAATATCTATGGACTTTTAAGATAATCAGTTAAACTAGCTAGCTGTTTTTATTGTTGACGTTTTATTCAATTTTTATATCTAAATGTGAAAAGAATAAAAATAAAAAAAACTTTTAGATATCAGTCCGCATATGTGATGGACATTGGTTATGATCATCATTGGTATCTACTTTGAAGGCATCTTGAGTAAAACTGCTTCATATTTAACTAAGCATATGCAAAACGCTTGAACCGGAAGCGACGAGACCCGGTTAACAGAATACGGAAGTCTGTTGCGCATAACCCTATTTGATCGCGAATCTCGAAAGTGAAAGTGAAAGTAAAAAACAAGCGTGCGTTCATAAGGCATTTCAATGCCCTGCATATTAATAACGGCTCCCTGATGCCCGCAGTTTATATACAGTATAATTACTCAACGATATACAGTGGGTACGGAAAGTATTCAGACCCCCTTCAATTTTTCACTCTTTGTTATATTGCAGCCATTTGCTAAAATCATTTAAGTTAATTTTTTTTCCTCATTAATGTACACACAGCACCCCATATTGACAGAAAAACACAGAATTGTTGACATTTTTGCAGATTTATTAAAAAAGAAAAACTGAAATATCACATGGTCCTAAGTATTCAGACCCTTTGCTGTGACACTCATATATTTAACTCAGGTGCTGTCCATTTCTTCTGATCATCCTTGAGATGGTTCTACACCTTCATTTGAGTCCAGCTGTGTTTGATTATACTGATTGGACTTATGGCTGCAATATAACAAAGAGTGAAAAATTGAAGGGGGTCTGAATACTTTCCGTACCCAC